GATCTTATTATGCATCCAGATGCTCTGATGAATGCTGCATCGGTTTTTCAGCTTCGCTTTGCGGAATGCGCTGAGGCCGACACATTATGTAAACAAATTTTCAGCCTTTAAGAGTGATGCCACTTTTGATATCCTTCATTCTTTGTTTTGTTCTTTCAGTAATGAATTAGAGAAGTGTTCTACTGAGTATATTTGTTTCTTTTTCTAGTGGGTTGGGGTTTCTTTTACATTGATAAGCAATGTCACATTGTGACATCTGTTCGATTGGGGAATTTACAGTGCAATTTTTTGTAAAATTAATGGTTCCTACCCCTACTCCCCCCCGTAAAACCCTCAAGCCCCCTGCATCCCCTCCAATTGCACTCCCAAATTTTGTTGACTTTGGTATTAAAGTTTTGGCCTCAAAGTCAATAAAATTTAGGGGATGCAATTGGAGGGGATGCGTTAGGGACGAGACGCGCCTGGCTAGGGGAGTTTACCGGAGGTTAGGAGGTAAGAATCATAGGAGGTAAGAACCATCAGTTATACGAACAAGGCAGCGTAAGTGCCCGATGTCATATAAGATTATAACTAGTTTCATATTTACAAAACCTAAGGGCTAGTTTCATATTTACAAAATCTGTCTTCTCATTTTCTTTTCTTTCTTTTTTTCTTTTTTTCTCCAACCAAATAAGTAAAATTATTTTCTATCTCATTTTCTATTATTTTCCCTTTTAAATTTCTTGTGAAGATAGTTGGCAGATTTAAAATTTTGTATCTATTTAGGATTCACCAAACACTATGGTTCTTTTGACATTGAATTTTCTATAAGGTTGAAAATCAGTCTTGTCCCAAATTATTTAATTGGTTTTCTTTTTAGGTCAAAAATAAAATGTACCATTGAATTACCAAAGACCTCTTTATTGAATTAATTTGACGGTCACCAAAATTCAAACGGGCAATAAAATTCACTAATAATATTTGCTTGCAATGAATATTTAATAAGAATAATATAAAAAATAAATTTAAATAATTTTGTTAAAGTTCTTCCAATTTTTTTCTAGAGTCTTCGTGATGGGATTCATCTTTGTCTAAAAGAACCATATATTTGCCAGAACCTCTTTATTGAATTAAACAGAGGGTCCTCAAAACTTAAACCAGCGATAAAATTTACAGATAAAATTTGTCTGTAATAAACATTTCTTAAATGGGACCTCTAAAATCAATTGCTCTTTGATGGACCTAAAGTTAACATTATTTTTTGTGAATCTTTTCACATTAGAAGTGTTTTTTTGTAAAATAAAATGTTTATAAAAATAATAAGCATTTGCTTCCCTTTTTCATATATATATATATATATATATATATATATATATATATATATATATATATATATATATATATATATATATATATATATATATATATATATATATATATATATATTATGGATCCTTCCCCTATCCAAACTCTTCCTGCACAGTTAGAAAGGAAAATTAAGGCACTGACTTAGGCTAAATTTTATCCTTCATTTGGTGTCCTCACTAGAAGTCAAAGCAAGAAATATGGAGATCTGCCCCACCCCCTGCCCTTATCATGAATTTTTTATTCTGAAATATTAGAGGGATAGCTTCTTCTCAAGCCAGACTTCTATCCCTCATTAAAATGCACAAAATTTCTTTTCTTGCCATTCTTGAACCCCTTGTTAGCCAAAAGAAACTAAACAGATTCTCCCTCTCTCTCAACTTTTCTAAATACCTTTCTGCCCTGGACAACAAAGCCTGGATTTTCTGGGATCATAATGCCCTACAGTTAATTGATTCTAGAATGGGTGACCAAGCAGTAACCTGCTGTTTTAAACAGGTCGACTCAGATATAAAAGTTTTTATCACCTCAGTGTATGGTAAA